CCCCCACTGCAACTTGAGACCATTGCTCCTTGTTCTATGCCAAGTACTTTAAAAAACCTCTGCCTTGCACACACCAGCAGCTTTATAAAACACACCAAACCAAGTTTGCAGCCATACACTTTTTTCAAAAACCCCACAGGCATTTAGAAGCCACATGGTTTGTTCTGACCCCAGCCATGTGCCTTTGGTTTAGTTAGTCGCATCCACCCCCCCACAGGGCCTTAAACCCATCACATTATACACAGTAAAAAAAAGTTCCCTTTCACTATGGGATAAAGTGTTGCAGGCACATGGTTGTTCTGTTCCCCCTCATGTGTGCTTAAGCCTTCAGGTTCAAGAACAAGCAAAAAATGTTAGTTAGTGTTACCATCAAATGCCTATGCAGCCTGTGGAATACTTTTGTTAATTCAACAGTATTAAGCACAACTATAGTTAAAATGGTTTTTTTTTTTTTTTTTTACCTTGGCCTGGTGGTAAAATGCAGTTTAAAGTTCCTGGTTCCATGCTAACAGATCACACTGCAATAAAGATAGGCACCATTATTTACTAAAACAGCCTGGGCAAAAAGTGGCCTTCTATAATATATAGTTTCAGAGTTAAAGACAGCAAGTCTTACCTCTTTTTGCAGTCCAGCAGCTATCCAAGTTGAAAAAGGACAAAGTGCTGCATACCTGAGGTTTTTATCCCCTCTTAGCCCATTGTTAAACAAAACTTCAACATAGTTTGCTAACAGGTTAATGTAATGACCCCACCCATAGCATTCCCTTTTGTAATTTGGGAGTGAAACCAGTTTGGGTGGGTGTGTGTGTGTGTGTGTGTGTGTATGGTTAAAACCCATTCAGTTTAACAGACTAAGGATGGCTCAGTGGTTTAAGCATTGGCCTGCTAAGCCCAGGGCTGTGAGTTCAAGCCTTAAGAGAACCACTTAGGGCTCTGGTTCTCAATATTCTCAAATCAATATTTGGCCCTGCTAGTAAAGGCAGTTCTATGAGATAAGTATATCTCCATATTAACTTTCTTGTACTCAGACACATGTCTGAACTAGCCTTGGTTGTTTTATTGTAAGCACATTTTTAGGATTTTTTCCCCTTCCCCACCACAACATACATTTCAGCTTTTTGCTACACACAAAACACAAGAGCTAATTCTCACAAACAATTTATTTTTTTTATTTAAAAAACATACAGCTTCTTAAAACCAAAACCAAAATGCTTTATTAAAACTTTTTAGCGCACTTAAAGGCCAAAGGCCTTCTAACAAAACACAAATAGTCACAAGCCCCCCTTTTAAAAAAAAATTACAGCTACCAAGTTTTATATCGCATGTTTGTCCCCTCACCATTCTCTAACTTAATCCTTTTAGATTTCTTACAAATAGTTTTTTTCTTAAGCAGGGTTCTGTAACTCTTTGTGCGGACTAGACGGTCAATATAACGCTCTAAGCAGGCATCTTCCGGTTTGGTCATTTTCCTTAGAACACGGTCAGGGTCTGCACTAAATTGCACAGCATTTATCAAGGTCACCCCTTGCGCTAAATGTTCTTGGGTTAGGCACAAACATTGCATACCATAGCCTATGGCAACAACAGTGTTTAATAAGCTTTCCAAACACAGCTCAGCACACAGGCCCCGGAGCTTGCTGTTTATATCCACTGAAGTCCAAGTCACACAATCATGGTGCCTTTGGCCTGGCGCATCTATGACACAGCCCTCACAATCTTCAAAAAGCTTTTCCCTAAGGCAGTGCTTAAGGACAGCATAAACAGCAACGCGTACAATAGTCCTCATGACTTTTTTACGCTCACGATGTGGCACTGGCTCAGTTAGTTCTATGCCAAGCCGCCTCCTAAACTCCTCATAGCCATCATCCTCAGAGTCCTCTTCAACAACTCGTATTGGCGTTGAGCAAAAACATGGTGGGCCCAGTTCATCTTCGCTGCTTGATGCATCGCTGTCCGGGTCCTCTAGAAAGGCATCGTCGAGCTGTTAAAAAATTTCAAAAAAGAAAACGTGTAAGCACCCCCGCTGCTTGTTTTTTAATTTACGCAACCCCGGTTCCTAACCCATCGACCGCCGCTTCTTAAGCATTCATTTACCTGAGCGCCGTCTTTTCCGTTCGCTTTGTCCACTGGTGACTCCCCCGAGCCACAATCGCCTTCCACCTCTGAGGGAATGGACAAAGAAAGGCCGTCACGCTCACCGGTCTGACTCACGAGGGTTTCGGGGTCGGGTTCCGGCGTATCCATCAATGGCTGGGCCAAAGGGCTCCCCTCGGTCGCTCCCTCCTCCTCCTCGGAACTGTCGCTGATGTAGCGCTTTCTCCGAATAGTGTGTGGGTGCCTCAGCTTCCCCGATGCAGTTCTTAAGTATCTAGGTGCTGGGAGAAGGGGGTGTGATTGTTGCAGAGCCCTAGAGGGCAGATGTGATGCTGTCTGGACAGTAAATGGCCAACACTCGGTCTCCTGGCAACTAATGACCTGGGCCCCTCCTCTACAAAGGTGCCAACTGAAGGTGTTGGAGAACAAAGAAATCAGGTGACCTCCTGGCCCAGGAAAGGAACAAAGGGAGAGGAGGGGCTGGACATTTTCAGTTTGGGGCTGGCTGGGGATGTGGAATGAGGTGCAGATGTGGTTGTCTGGCTCACTGCCCCCCAAAATGGACCCAGCTGAGGGGTCCTGTTCTCTGTACCTACAAGCTCTGTTTTAGACCGTGTTCCTGTCATCTAATAAACCTCTGTTTTATTGGCTGGCTAAGAGTCACGTCTGACTGCGAAGTGGGGGTGCAGGACCCTCTGGCTTCGCCAGGACCCAGCCAGGGCGGACGCGCTGTGGGAAGCGCACGGAGGGGCAGAGGATGCTGAATGCTCCAAGGTCAGACCCAGGAAGGTGAAGCCGTGTGAGCTTCTTGCCCTGAAGACAGTCTGCTCACAGAGAGGAGACTTCACCAGAGTCCTGACTGGCTTCCTAGGGAGCAGTTCCAGAGCATCGCCCGGGGACGCCGTGACAGGTGCCACCTCCGGGCGGTTTGGGGGATTAACTCTGGGAGGCTGACGTCCCGTCCTGTGGTTGCACGCCATCTCTGTCTCTCAGTCTGCAGCCCTTCTCTTGCTCCAGGAGCTTCTGTTGGCTCTTTGTGACTCGGCTAATGGTAGAATTCCATGATGTGGTCCAAAAACGGAAAGTAACGGGCAACGATCCATCACCAAGGTAAAATGCCTACAATACCGATAGGTTCAAATTCCAAAGATAATCGAGGAGATGTCGTCTCTAACTCCAGCTTGGATTGGAGATCTGACTGCCATCTCTGACCCAGATGCTATCTCGGACTCCCGCTTCTGATAATACGTGTAGTGCTAGGTCTTGGTCAGTGTCATGGTGATGTGTCCTTTCTTCTGGCATTTTCAGCCAATAACCTGATGCGCCCAGCAATCCTTCTCAGAGTGCGCAGTTTGCTCACAATGGTCACATGGAAATTCCTTATGCTCCCGTGGTCCTCTGTCTTGCTGATGCGGGAGGCGAACTTCTTGGTTCTCTAAATTTCAGAGAATCCTTCTCTGCGGTCTCCATTGCAACTGCTACTTCAACAGCCTTCTTGAATGTAAGCGCCGATACAGTCAGTAACTTCTTCTGGTCCTGGTCATTGGGTAATCCAGAGACTAACTGGCTGTGCAGGGCGTCACGTAATGTTTGTCCGAACTGACAGTGATGTCACAAATTCCATAAAGCAACAACAAACTGTGCTACCAACTCTCTTCTTCCCGGATGTTGCTGATGAATCTGGTATCGTTCTGCTATCTTCAAAGGAATAGGAGAAAAATGTCCCTGCATCGCTGCACTAAGTGTGGCATACTTAGGTGCTGAGAAAAAATGGACCATAGGTGCTGAAAAAAAATGTTGTGTGCTTAGCACCCACTGGCAGCCCCCCATCAGCACCTCGCCCTCCCCACTGCGCCTTCCGCCCACCATGGATCAGCTGTTCTGCGGCGTGGAGAAGGCGCTGGGGGGGAGAGGGGAGGCCTGAGGGTGGGGCATGCTCAGGGGAGGGGAAAGAGGAGGAAAAGGCGTGTGGGCAGAGCAGAGGCAGGAAGAGGCAGGGTTGGGATGGGGCCTTGGGAGAAGGGGTGGAGTGGGGGCGTGGCCTAGTGCTCCTCCCTCCCCCTGGCATATTAGAAAGTCGGCACTTATGCCAGTCGGCGCTTATGCCAGTTGGAAAGCAGAGGTCAGGCAGCAGTCCGCTCGCCTTTGGACCCATCACTGACAGCAAGGCTGAAACTCACTGTCTGTCTGGAACCGTGTTGCAGGTTACCAATTGCTGAAAACGTTGGAGGTGAACCACCCACGATTCGCAGGTGCTGTTGAACGTCCCAAAACTGCCCACAAACGG